AACCAACAGAAAGCAATTGAAGCAAATGAACGAGCAAGAGCACATATGCAGGTGTTGTCTGAGACCCTTCACCAGTGGTTTTGTATGATATCTGTTGTGATTGTGTTGTCATGATTAGATTATGTTGATGCCTGCTGTATGTATTACGATTTTATATTCCTCTATACATTATCATAATACTGAAAACTGTCAGTTGTCTGTAAGTGGTCCAATTTGCAACGCGGTTAAAGATTTATTGGGCCTTGCCTTTAACCTGTGCCTTTCTATGTGTAACCCCCCACCTAAAAGAAATAAATAGAAAATGGATATTGTTAGCATACCAAAGGAGTCTCAGCAAAATTAAAAATTTTCTCAAATTTTCAATCAAGGTTGACCCCTAATTTGCTTTTTGTCTTTATTAAAAGCCTTAGGCATGTAATTTAATTTGGTGATGACATATTTCTAGTTATGCATATAAAGTAAAAACCTAATAAAATCAGATAGGAATGGTACCTTGTAATGGAAGCTCTAAGAAGACTAACTTCGAATATGAAGCAAAAACTTTGAGGATTTTCTCTCTCTCTTTCTTGAGTCTTTGTATATATTGGGGTTTCAAGGGAAAATTTCTTTTTTTTTTTTCGATGCATAGTGGATTATATTTATATTGCCTAAATAGTTGGCATAAAACTAAGTACTGTTTGAAAGCTCGTTATTATAACTTAGTAACTTTAAGATATATTCTTTAAGTATTTAGTTTTCTTATTCTTATTAAGATTAGTGTTTTTTAGTTTAATTCTATTTGGAAAGGATTAGTTAGGAAACACTATAACTACGTAGAATCTCACCTTGATGGAAGCCAATTATTCAATAAAAGTTCTATGAGAATTTTTTTTATCTTTTTGGTTATGTGATGCAATCAAATCTTAGAGTCTGATGCTTAAGAATTTTTAGGTTTGATATATAAGAAATCCTAGTTGTGATATATGGGTTCTTTTCCCCAAATTCGAAAGTGTTCAATTGACCTAATTTATCCTATATAGTTGGTATTAGAGACAAACATTCATACAACCAAAATCTCCAAGCCTCACATCCGAACAAATATCAACCATCTGAAAAAGAAAAACCCATGGACAAAAAATATGAACGCTAGAAAAATCTATCAGTCAACCATCCTAGATTGCATCACTAGTCAGAGTTGACTCACATTTCCACCATATATGGACTCGGAACACTTTGACAAAGATGTTCTTAGATCCCCATAGTGAAAAGCTACCAGGATAAGTCACTGCTGTCTTATATCCACGTAGCCATGAGGCCTCATAGGGACCCCTAATTTACAATGACCTCGTCAAGCATAACCTCGGAGTTCTTTAGTGATCGGAAGACGGCGTTAACTTCGGAGTTACTTAGTGATCAGAAGTCGACGTTGATGCTCATGTGCTCATGGCTGAGAGTTAGATTCGCTAATTCAACCCTATTTAACCTGCTCTACTAGGTTTTATGTTCAAACGGGTTCACTCAGTCCAGTTTAGATCTCATTCAGACTGGCTTCCATCAGTTGGTACATATTTTCGTATTCTTAGTCTTGCTTTTCTTTCTGATTAGAAATTGAACTAAACAACGGCGGTCAATGCTTCAATTATAAATTCATATAATTCTTTGGATGCAAAAGTAGTTGCAGTAAAAAATTCTATGTGCATAATTCAAAATTCAGTTAATAAACTTGTAGAAGAGCTTCGAAATTTTTGTACAACATGAGGATTATATGTTCCCGAGTATGAGTTGAAAATTGGTTGGAAAAAGCAGAAACTCCCACTCCTTGGTCTCTCAAAAGCCCTTGAAATGATGCTGATGTCAAAGCCAATCAAGGTCGAGGAAGCTCATGCATCGGGTCTCATTAATGCTGAAGTTGCATTGGAGGAGTTGATGAAAACTGCAGGTTATTTGGCCTTGGATATTTTGGAGCAAAAGAAAGCAAGGGTTGCTAGTCTTAACAAGACATAAAAGTTGGAGTCCCTTGGCGAAGCAAGGGAGATAGTAAGTGGAGAAGGGATCAGGCTTGTAAGTGAGCTCCCAGCCCAAGCATCCATAGACAGGTTCATTTGGACAAGATTTGTATCAAATTGGTCTAAAGAACATACATACTATGGAGAGGGGGCTCCATTCTTACGCTTAGGATGATACTTTTTGAGGGCGCCATACTGAGCCGTAAAAGATAGTTTGCGCAGCTAAACCTTGAGGACAAGGTTTCCTACAAGAGGGGAGAAACGTCAGTACCTGAAGAGCTAGCTAGGATATTAATCTTCTGTTATTCTATTAAGACTAAATAGCTATTAGAAATAGGCAGGAAGAATCTCAGTACAAAAGGACACTGTTATCCAGCTGTCCATTTTAACTAGTATTAAGTTGTTATTTTTGTTTTATTCTTCTGGAGAATAGGTACTGCAATATTCTATTCCAGATGTA